CGGGGGAAAAGAAAAGGAAAGAAAGAAAAAATTAAAAGAAAAAGAAAAATTAAAAAAAAATGAATATGATCAAATATGATCAGGCTGGTGAATACATCAGTGCCACAGACTAGATTTTGGGTGTATTTTGGTTTGTTAGAAGAAACTGCCTCCCAAGATTTTAAAGAAAAAATTTATATATGTACAAAAATAAGGGTAAATATGATGAAGTGATTGAATATGACTGTAAAGATGAAAATTATAAAATATTTTATAAAAGGAATTGATAAGTTGTTAGAAAAAAGACAAGAGATATTGGAAAAAAAAAGGTGAGAATATGTTTAGGCTGGAGACTAGAAAAAAGCCATACACTAGAGATTTAGGGTATATTTTGGTCTGTTAGAAGAAAGTGTATCCCAAAATTTTAAAGAGAGAACAACTTATATATATACCAAAAATAAGGTTAACTACTATGAAGGGATAGAATATGACTCTAAATATGAAAAATAAAAAAGATTTTTCAAAAAAGAGATTGATAAGATGTTGGTTGAAAAAGGGAAAAAAATTAAAAAATAAAAAGAAAATTAAGAAATTAACTTTGAACGACTAAAGAATCAAGGGGAAAAAAACCATGAATTCTATGTGCAGTATTCCCCTAGTGCTGGAGTGCTGCCGTTCTCATTGATCGGTAAACTTGGTCTTGGTGGGATGTTCTTGGTGATCTTCTGGGGGAGGGGCCTGTTGCCGTGGTTCCCAAATGTCTTTGCCAGAGGCGGAATTGCCCCGCCCTTGCCGGTCTGGGCTAATTAATCTGCTCGGGTTTGCTCTTGGGAGCTTTTGTTCCCTGTAAGCTTACCGTACAGCTTTGGAGGACGAGAGTGAAAATGGCAGCCTCCCAATCTCTGTCCCGGAGGACCTGAGAACTCAGGGCGCCACTCCTTAGTCTGCCGCCAGAGAAAAGCAGTCAATCACTCCTGTCTCCCTGGTCTCCAGCTGCACTTCTGCTCACCAGGCCTGTGACCAAGTGTTTCTATCTCTGGCACACGACCCTTTGTGGAGTTTCCAAACCCCGCAGAGTCCTGCCGTGAGCTCCTGTGCCGTTCCTCCCTGGGGAGGAAGGGAAGTCTCCCCGGATCTGCCGCTTTTTGGGTCCCTGCTGGAAGAGCAGTGGCCTGACTGTGCCGTGGATCCGGGTTTCTGGCAACCCGGAGCTGAGAGCCCACTCCTCCGCTCGGTCTGTGCAGCCAGCTTCCCCGCTCCGATACCTGAGAGCTCTGCCGCACTCAGACATCTCTGGTCTTTCTGTGGCCCCGAGGGTCCTGAGACCTCACTGTCCTGTGAGGTTTCCACCCCCCGCTTAGCCACCGGAGCGAGGTCCCTCAGCAGAGGGACTTCTAAAAGTTCGGTTTTGTGCTCCCCTGCTCTATCACTTGCTGGTAGCAGCTGATGGAGGCCCCCTCCCCCCACCATCTATCTTCCTGAATATCGCGTTGGATTCACTTCTCCGCACGTCCTACCTTCCAGAAAGTGGTCACTTTTCTGTTCTGAGAGTTGCTGCTGTTCTTTTCTCAATCTCCTGTTGATTGAGTTCGTAGGTGTTCAGAATGGTTTGATCCCTATCTAGATGAATTCCTGGGACCAGACAAAATCTAGGTCTCCTAATCCTCTGCCATCTTGCTCCTCCCCCTTTCCTATGAATTCTTATTACAGGTTTTTTTTCTTCTTTCTTTTATAGATACATTTTTGAGTCTTAATTAAATGGAGACCTCAGTAGAAGTACGTACCATCCTATGCATACACAGTTTACAACTTTCCTCCTATTTCTTTTAAAATATGTCAAAGATATCAAGCAACGTTTGGGCTTTTTGGTTTTAAAAGGCACTTGCCTATTATATATAAAGGATATATTAAGGTACCAAGGAAAGAGAACAGAAAAGTTAATTTTCCTGTAACTACTATGACCTTCACTGAGATCAGTTCGTTCATTCAACTATGCATTCATTTTTCATTCATCAGTTTTATCAAATATCAGTGTTATGACCAAAAGCAAACTCTGATTGCTTCTCCACATCTTATTATCTGGCTAATTAAGTGGCTAACTGTATTAATTATCTCAAGTTAATGGTACCACATCCAATTTAAGTGAAAAATCGGAAACCATCTTACACTCCCCTTTTCTGTATCATTACTTCAGTCAGTTCTGTTAATTAGTCCCTATCCCCCTTGTTTTAAATTACCAATGCCTTTGTCTTAATTTAGGCTTTTATAGTTTTCTTACCTGAACCTTTGTAGTAGTTTTCAGCTTTGTTTTTAACCACATTTGTCTAACTATCCCACCTACTCAGTACTGCCAGTTATTTTCCTAAACTATGAAGATGATCATTTCACTTTCCTGCTCAAAATTCCTAGTGATAACGACATTATGCAAAAACAAAGGCCAATTACTAAAGGTGTCCCGCACTTCTCTTTACAAACTGGTCTTTGTTATTGCAGCTAAATCTGAACATGGAGAAAAATTTTGTCAGGCCTCTGTGCTGTTATGTGAAGTATTAGGATTCTTCTGCCTGGAATGTTTCTTTCCCTCCTGTTTACACAACAGTTTGTATTCATACCTTCAAGCTAAATCTTAAGTTTCATTTTACTCTTTTAGTGACTTCTCTGTTAGCCTTCCTTCTCCATTTGTCTTGTCTTTTCCCTCTGCCCTGAGTCGTTTCTTCTTTTGCTCCTGTATCTGTGTTTTATATATTTGTCATGGTTTTATAATTGTTTTTCATGTTTGTTTTCCTGGTGAAACCTCCTTAAGGGTGTATATGTTATCTTTGTATGCCCACAGTCTGGGGGATACCTGGCATGAAATAGATGCTCAGTAAATTTTTTGATTGAATGAATGAGTCTGAGGAATAAATAACGTCAATTCTAGCAGAAAAAAATCTCATTGGGGAAAATAGTGGATAAAAAAATAAATAGATACTTAGTTAATGCTATCTTATTTATGGGTGCCAGATATGTATTAGGAACTATTCTTTATAATTTTCATACATTGTCAATTATCTGTAATATTCACAGTCACTCCACAAAGTAGGTATTATTATTCCTCCTTTTTTAAGACATGGAAGTAGGTCCAGAGAGGCTAAGTAATTTGCCAGAAGCCGTAGAGCTACTTACCTGGTGAGCTCAGTTTATATCTGTATGAATTTAAAGTTTGTACTTTCCAGCCCAGCACACTGAATTATCCCATACACAGGAGAAAGAACTCAATAAATATTTATTAAATAAGTGCTTTTTTCTATATTAGGTATGGCAGTAACTATAATAATACATCTAATATTATTTATCCAAATAATAATAATATTATTTGGATAGCTGGAAATCCTCTTCTATTTATAGACATTTATTTACATGTATTCTATTTAGAAATTTGAAATTTCTAAAAATCTTACTCCAGAATATAAAGACTGTATTTCCTGTGTTACCTAGATGGCATCCTGGTGGAAAATTTTTAAACTCAGTGAGGGTAGTATAGGTAAATTTGAATTCTTATTCATGTAAACTATAAGGTTTTTCTTAAATTTATTTGAAGCTTCTATTTTTATGGCTTCTTCTTGATAATTTTGTAGTATTTAGAAATATGAGTTATTAAATGACTGACTTTAAAGTTTTTTTTTCTGCTTTTAATCAGGAAAAACATATATACTGCTTTCTGATCAAGTGGAAGATTCAGTTTGCAATGATTAGAGTTAAAGATTACCTATAATGAAACAACTTTAAAAAAGACCTGTGTTTTAGGGATTAAATAGTTTGACCTGACATTTTACTTTTACAATTGAGGAACAATGCTGTTTGTGTTATTGTCTTCAATGAGTTGTTGAGAGCACTATTTTTATTTTCTCAATCAAAATAAATGAAATTGAATTTTGTTCATAGTTTTTCAGACCCCTTAAAATAACTAGTATTTTAGTGGTTGAGAATTATTACTATAGCTTTATGTTTTTTAAAATATACTATATGAAATAATTGAATAGTGCTTTTAAGTAATTTGGGAAACAAAGTTTGTATTATATATTTTTATTTTGGGGGGAGAAACTAAGTCTAATTTTACCTCCTTAACCACTGAAGGCATATTTGTTCAAGTATCTGTAAATTTTTGGAATTTTTTTATATTTTAGAAAAATATTTCTGTATTCTCAGCCTTAGGTTATTAACTTTCAAAAGAGTAAGGGTTGGATCTACAAATTGTTACAGAGCTTAAACCATTCTATATCAGAATATACACTTAAAATGCTTTTGGTTGGCCCTAGTAACTACAAATTTAGAACTTAATATAAACTCATTCCTTGATTCTTAATGTGTATTCACACATTATCAGGTTAAAAGTATGTAATTATTCTTGGACCTAATAAATCTAAATTGTGGAATAGAAATCACCTAAATTTTATTATAACTGTTAAAATGTTTTTCCTCTGACGGGTCTTTCCTGACCATGCAATCCAAAGTAGAATCCTAGGTTATTCTTTCTCAGTTTACACTGGTTTTATTTTTTTCTCTCATAGTAGTCTTCATTATTCGTCATTTTATATATCTTTATTTGTCTAATCTGTGTCTCTTTCATTATACCATGAATTTCAGGAAAGCTGGACCTATGCTCTGTCTGGCCAAACTTGGTTATTTGTGATGCCTGGCATCACATCACATCACATCACAATACACCTTATTAAATGAATGAACACAAATATATTGTATTTCCATAATATTTGGATCTTGGTATAGTAGAAGGAGTATCATTCCAGGGTTCAAGGCATTCTAGGTCTGTCTTCATCACAGATTTACTGTTTATGAGTCACTTCTTTCATCTGCAAAGTGAGAAATAAGATGGGGAACTTGAAATAGTGTAATGTGTAAAGCTTGAAATGTGTAATTATTATTATTCTTTCAAGCATTTCTTGTGTGTTATGAATGTTATGATTGCTTTTTTAGACAATAACTAAACATGACATTAAGGTCTTTAATTTTTTTTATTTAAGTGGTACATGATCAGCATCGTCCACATTTATAATCGATGGAGGAACAGTGAAATTCGGTGTTATGTTAATGGACAACTGGTATCCTATGGTGATATGGCCTGGCATGTTAACACAAATGATGTAAGTTTTTTTTTTAATCTGTGCTTTAATGTATTTGAGTGTGTGATCTATCATTGTTCATAACATGAATTGTATAATAGTTTGGTAGAAACTTAATAGTTGTACTTTGAAAGTTTTTTTCTGTTAACTGAATTTTTAGGTCTTAAATTTAATATAATTAAGTTGCTAAAATAGATAATTAGTGGTAAGAAAAAAAGGAAAATTGCTCAAAAATTATTATTAGGTCAAAAACATCCATGCAGTATTCTATTCTTTCTAGAATTTCAAGCAATAAAAACTGTGTCTTGTACCTTATTTGGATGTGAAAGGATAACATATAGTAACTATGTCTAGAACAGAGGGAGGAATGGGCAGAATAATGTTAAGAGATAAGATTAGATTGACAGCAGAGGGTGAAATCCTGTAGGGGCCTTATATGCAAACACAATACCTGGGCTTTCCCATCTTACCCAGCCTAAAAATCTCTGGAAGGTTTTGAGGAGACAAGTGATATAATGCTGGTTCATATTTTAAAAATATCAGTCAGGCTGCAGTATTGAGAATATTCTGAAGGAAAAAATGACAGAAGAAGGGAGATCAATTAAATGACTTATTATAATAATAACAAACATAATACTAGTTTTGACTAGCCTGTTAGTAGTGAGGGAGGTAACACAGTTGGATTCTGGATAGAGAATATCTAGAGTTAAAACCTCAAGAACTCTGTTCTGGGCTTTCTCTTGTCATTATCCTGACCTGTTAGAACCAAAGTAAAAGATGTTTTCTAGTACCAAAAGTACTTCCAAACCCAATAACATATGAGCATTCCAGCATACCTCGTTTTATAAAAACTTGCCTCTTTTTAACGAAATTCACCTCTCAGTATTGTCCATATCTTTCCAGACTTTAATTTGCTTAAGAGCAGGGTCTCTTCTTGTTCTCTCTGGTATTCTTTTAAATAGTACTGTGTGCAAAGTCCATAGCTTTTTCCCTGAGTCATGGGTTGGAAGAGTACCCCCTGCAGACCATATCTGAACCTTGACCTGTTTTTGCATGACCTGAGAGCTAAGAATCTTTGGGTTTTTTTTTTTTTTTCATTTTTAGAGGTTTTTCTTTTTTTAAAGATCCAGACAAACAAACAACAATCAAAAAAGATTATATGACAGAAACCGCATGTGGCTTGAAAAGGTTAGAATATTTACTGTCTGTTCATTTATAGGACAAGTTTGCTTTTTCTGCCCTGGAAACTCATAGTTGGACCACAGTCAGTAAATTTTTGAGAATGATTTTATCAGAATTAGATACACAGATGAAATTCTGCTTCATGTCTGCCCTCCAAAGGGGAGAGTTTTTACTATAGAGTGGAAGAAACCCAAGAGACTTTGTTGACTGTCACTAACTCTACAGTTATATTTAAAAAGGAAGGAAGGAAAGAAAGGAGGAGGGAGGGAGAGAAAGAAAGAAAAGAAAGACTTAAATTTTTGAATTATTTGCAATAGTACACCAAAAAATGGAGAGACCTGGGCAATAACACATATGTACACATAACATTATGCAGTAAATTCTTTAGTTCTTATAGTTTTAATTACAGAATGGGTATTTGATGAGGAGTTTTGTCCTCATAATTCATTCACAAATATTTTGTCATTCTATTGAGGCACCAAAGGGATACCATACATATATAATGTCTTGCTTTTTAGTGCTAAGGTGTGGAATAATATGTGAGGATGGGGGATGGAAACTGGGGTGAGATTTTAAGAAGCAGAGATGGGTCTAGGTAAGTGTGCCTTCTTAATGTCTTAAACTCTCCAGATGGAGAGCACCATACTATCTACTTTAGGTGGCAGATTTCAGTGATCATTATTTTTTTGGTTCTACATAATGCCTACTCATTGAAGAGAGGGAAGTGATTTTCATAGGGTCCTTGACTTAGTGTGGAGAAATAGTAATATATATCCCTGGTGGAGAAATTAGATAGTTTCAAAAATTAGGCCTTATGTGTTTATGGTTAAAATTTGGATTAGTCATTCTCTGATTCAGATGAATCTCTCTCTACATGGACAATTGTTAAATCATTAGAGTTTTAAAATTAGTTTTACTTTTATAAATAAAATTATAAGCACTTTTGCCTTTAAGTATAACATTTCTAAAGTGGTTACGTGATTAATGAATAGATGATTATTGTTTGTTTTGCTTTTCTATAGATACAAAATATTTAACTGCTTTACTTTTTCTAAAAATCTTTAGCTGGCCTTTGTTATTTAAATACTCCATAAAGTCTTAAATGATGCTTTCTTCTGTTATTATTGTTATATTTTAAGGTATTCATGACAGTGAAGGCAGGTATCCTTAAATATTTTATCATTACAAAATAATACATTGATTTTTTTATGACTTTTTAAAAATAGAGCTATGACAAGTGCTTTCTCGGATCTTCAGAAACTGCTGATGCAAATAGGGTGTTCTGTGGTCAACTTGGTGCCGTGTATGTATTCAGTGAAGCGCTCAACCCTGCGCAGATATTTGCAATTCATCAGTTAGGACCTGGATATAAGGTAGTAATAACTATCTTATTACAAATCCTATGGAAAGTTTTATGTGAATTCTCTGTGAAATGTGATACAATATAACGTATAGCGATAATCTTTCTTCAATGTGATTTAAAAGTTGTCTCTGTTTTTGGAACTCAGCTGTTATTACAGGTTTCATTTTGTTTCAAAGGTGCTTTTTCTCTTTTTCACTATTTTCCTTTCATGAACTTTGAAAATTCTTTAGACTATTTTCTAATATGAAAGCCATGGCTTTTGTTAACATAATTCTGAAATAATAAATTTTATAAAACCATATTGCTTAATGTGGTACTTAAAATCTCAAATTTTGAAATACATAATGAACAAATGAAATGACCATTATTGTTCAAATTAGAGATAATTTGGAAAGAATAAAGATTTAAAAGGAAAATGGTATAAAATCACATGTGGCTGAAATTAATTCAGTTTTAGTTTTTACTTTTTCTCATCCTTTACAATAGGCAGAGAAGGTCAGTATAGTAGTGAGTATCTGAATTTTACAAAATCAGTTATTTAATATGATTTATCATATTCTGTTTTTTAACTTTCAAAATGAAGATTTATTTAGGCTAGATATTACATTCACATATATGAATTAGTTTTTAATGTGCGGTACCCCTGGCTAGGGAAATACGAGTTTTATTTTAATCACATTAGGAGTTGTGACATCCCAAACTGTTTGGAGCTGAGAGAAAATCATGCAGTGTAAGTCAAAGTATTTATAATTCTGAAGAAGTACATGTCTTGCATGGAGGAGCTGCTTTTTTAAAAAATTTAGTGTTTAGATAATCAGTGTGAAGATTATATTATGAAAAAAGGGGTACTAAAATATTTCTGTTCCCAGTGATTTTAAAATAATCACAATAATATTAAATGACAATAATGCTGTCATTTTTATGTCAAGGTGGAAATACTTGCTACCATCTTTTGTCCATATCATTAATTTTACTATCCCTAGAAATGAATTTGTGCTCATATAGCACTTTTTCTTGTGTGCGTCCTTTGGTTTAGGTCCTAGTTCTGCCATGTGTTGGCTTTGCACAGGAATGTTTCTGTAATTCAGATTTTTGGATTAATATACATTCTGCCTCCTTTTGTACTTCTTTGGCTTGGCCTAAAATATTTGAAGTGGCTTTCTTCAAGCACTGCCAGAATGATATTAAGTGAATCAAATCAATGATGCATAATTAAGATAGAAATTAAGAAAAAACAGATATGCAAATTATGAATCCAATATGACTGCTATAGTGCAATTTTAAAATTGACGGGAGCTTCCTGGCAGGAAAAAAGAAAAGGACTAAATATAAACAAGTTATGTAATTCTCTTATTTAGAAAGGAGCAAACATTGTCTTGAACCACTTTGCAAACTTAGTAATTTGTCATATGGCCCTTTCTCATCATAGTCTTTTATAGCAAAAGTGAAAATGAGTAGTAACCCTGTGTCACTGTGTTGTATACACAAATACTCATGTGATAGAGAAGGTATTCCTAGCATCCTAACGTAGTCAATAGAGTACCTATATCAAAGTCAGAACTTTTAAAAGAAAATACCTCTAAATTTTGGGCATTGCATGAAAAAGTATTTTATTAAGTTTTGAAAGTTCCCAGCCTATGGGTATAGCCCACTGAGCCCCTTGTTTTTTTTTTTTTTTAAAGATTTATTTATTTATTTTAGAGTAGGGGAGAGAAAGGCGAAGGGAGAGAGAGTCCCAAGCCAAATCCTTCCCGAGCGTGGAGCTCTGGGGCTCATTCTCACAACCCTGAGATCACGACCTGAATCGAAACCAAGAGTCGATGCTCAACCGACTCTGCCACCCAGGTGCCCCCTGAGCCCTGTGTTATTAATGGAAATAGACGGTAAATCCATGGGTGTATATGTATTTTCTCAATTTGTAAATATTAAAAATATAATTACTATCAGGACAGGCATCTGTAAAAATTTTTGATATTAAAGTTGTTTTCTAGAAATTCAGAGAATGAAGGGAAAGCGGAAAGGATACAAATGAAGACCAGATTGTGTTATGACAAGGAAAAAAGCTGAAGTGGTTTGCACATAATAGTCTTAATTTTCTTGGGTAGAGTAGGAGGCAGTCACTTTCTATGAGTTGAAGGGGTAGAGAGTTGCAGTGGAACTTTTATGGTGTTCAGGATATAATAACTAGTTGACATTTGGCTTAAATCACAGATGAAGCTAGAATTATTGTTATATAATAATGTATTTATGGGCGCCTGGGTGGCTCAGTTGGTTAAGCGACTGCCTTCGGCTCAGGTCATGATCCTGGAGTCCCGGGATCGAGTCCCGCATCGGGCTCCCCGCTCAGTGGGGAGTCTGCTTCTCCCTCTGACCCTCTTCCCTCTCGTGCTCTCTATCTCTCATTCTCTCTCTCTCAAATAAATAAAATTAAAAAAAAATAAATAAAAAATAATGTATTTATATTCATTGATGTACGTAATATGGAGCTTCCAATAAGTGTAATTGTCAGTATTCCCTATGATTCTGGGCTTAATGTAGATAGCATGTCAACATCTGGGCCCTGAAATAAAATAAGTTAATTCCCAAAATAATATCCTCAAACTATATATACTATGCATTCTGGCCTGTGTGACTTTTGACTTGCTGACCATTAGAGTATTAGGTAATTTTCTTTCTGTGAAATGTCTGGTTTTGAGCAATAGAGCTTGTCAGTGAATATTTTGCACTTAGTTATTTTAGGGAAACAGTAAATAAAAGGAGATACTATTACTAATCAAATAAATCATTAGATTTGGAAGTAATTTGTAAAACAACAGAATTTATCATTGTAACTTTGTCTAGTATAGAAAAATTTACTGTGAGTGAAGTGTATTGTGGAGCTCTATTTGATAGGGTTATTCAGTGTCTACAAGATTATAAAGTCTTATACATACAGTGGCTTTTTGACATAAACTTGCAAAGCAGATTTTAAAGTTTTGATATTTTATAATTGTTATTGGACATTTCCTAATTATCTTAGAGCCTCTTGTGGCAAGTAGTTCATCTCCATTGCTAAATTTTTCAATATTAAGCTTTGTGTTTTGTCCTCCATTCAAGAAAATGATAGCATAATGATTCTTTATCAGTTTATTATATTATGATAAAGATCTGATACAGAGAAAATGTATGGAACAGCCTCCAAAATTAAAAATCACTTTGGAGGGGCGCCTGGGTGGCTCAGTTGGTTAAGCGTCTGCCTTCGGCTCAGGTCATGATCCCAGAGTCCTGGGATCGAGCCCCACATTATTGGGCTCCCTGCTCAGCGGGGAGTCTGCTTCTCCCTCTCCTTTTGCTCCTCCCCCTGCCTGTGCACGCATTCTCTCTCTCTCAAATAAATAAATAAAAATCATTAAAAAAATCACTTTGGAGGGTTTCTGATACTTGCCTGGATAGGCAAGCTCCTAAGAAGGTGATATTCCCATAATAACCTCTTAAAATTCTGTACATTATACAGAAAACAACTATGTGAGGGCTCTAAAGACTGAATAAATGCCTCCAGGTTTTAGGGAGGTTAAAACATGAAACAAGTGGTCAGCATGGGCTGAATTCTCCATTTTTTACTCTGATAGAAAAACTTTCTGGCCAGAAAAATTAAGGTAAACAGTACTTGGCCAATCAACATCACATGGAGATTAATGGGCAACCTCAGAAAAGAGACAGCCAGAGAAGAATCTGAATTCTGTATTTTAAAAAAAACTCAGCTTGAATCTCTGACCAACTCCTGAAACCATGGTGATCATGACAAACTGATAATAGATTGTAAATAAGGCTTCAAGAACTGAACTGAGATCTGAGATACCATACATAGGAGGTATGACAGTCTGTAATTGTATCTAAGCAAGAAAATGACCCCACAAAACAAAAACAAATACTTTGCAGAACAATATGGTCTCTACAGAATAATTTTCACCATGGCCAGCATATAATCCAGAATTGCTCATCCTATGAGAAGCCAGGAAAATGTGACTTATTCTCAAGGAAAGGGAAAATCAGCACATACCAATTCCCAGGTAACCCAGAATCATGGAATTATTATGTGAGCACTTTTAGGGAGCTATTATAACTAGTGAGGTTAAAAAAATTTGCTTGTAATGAACTGGGAATTATCAGCCACAAAATTTTTAAAAAGTGGAAATTTTAGAACTGAAAAATACATCTGAAGTTAAAAAAATCCACTGTATGGGTTTATTATTAGCAAAACTGATATGATAGAGAAATAAATAAACTTGGATATAGGTTGACAGAACCATTAGAAGAGAGAGAAAAGATTTAGGGGGAAAAGAAGAAAACCATAGAGCTGTATGGGGTGGTTTTGCAATGTCATATGCAACGTATAAGAGAAAGGCCCAGAAAAAATATGAGGAAATAATGGTAGAGAACTTCCCAAATTTCTTAAAACAAACAAACAAACATATTTATAGATTGAAGGAACTATGTAAACTCCAAGGCAGATAAAGTCAGGGAAACCATAGAGCTGGAGCAGAACCTGTCAACCCAGAATTCTGAAGAAAGAAACTTGGATCATTAAGAATGAATGAATGAAAACATTCAGAACGATAAATATATGGATAAATAAAATATCTTTTCTCTTATTTTCTTTAAGACATATACTACTGATTAAAGCAAAAATTATATTGTCATTTATTGGTTTATAATATACATAAATTTAATATATATGGCAGCTCTAATAGAAGGTTCTGGGAGGGGATATAAATGCAAACTTTTCATATTTTAAAAAATATCTGTGGGATATAAAAATATTGACTGAAATTCAATAGCCAGAATGAAATTAACAAATTCGAAGTCATATATCTTTTCTTGAAATGTTAAGTATCCAGTATTTAATTTCCCTATGCTATATAGACTTCTTTTTGAAATGAAAGATAACATATATTCTACATATACTCAGTGGAAAGGAGAAACAAAATAAAGTAATGCAAATTAATGGAGAGAAGGTAAACTAGATATGAG